TCTCTACTTATGGAGGCCAAAAGTAAAAAGGAAAGTTCAATGTTAGAAGCAGTGGAGAAAGCTGTAAATTCCAAGATGCAGGATTTTCAAGCGAAACTGGAGAAATGTCTTGAGGAAAGAAATGTTGTTGAAGATGTGAGTTTGTAATGTGCTCCTCTTTATTTTGGAGTTTGGCATAGGTGTACTGTGTCTCTGAAATCTTCTTCTTCTTTTTTCTGACAGTCTATTTTAATTTATTGTGCCTATTTTTGTGTTTGTTTCTTAGATCAACCGTAATCTCATCAAGGGCCAAGAAACCCGGCGTGGAAAGTTGAAGGAAATTGAAGAGAGGTACATATTATTTTCTCTCCTTCATTGATAGATGTCAATTCTCCCATTGTTTAGATACTAACACTTCGGATAGGACCATGAGGGTGATAAGGGGTTGTTCAAAATATGTTTTTTTTCTTTCTTCCCACCCTGTCCCCTCCTCTCCTACACAACCAAGGATAGTGATCATTTCAGGACCCATGAGCCAGTGCTAGATCAATAGGATATGGCATAGAGGCAAGTCTGTGATTATTAGCAGCACTGAGTTCTTTGGTTTTTATATCCTCCTTTTAGGGAAGCTGCATCACTGAGGTTAAGAGAGGAGAGGATACTTGATCTAGAAGAACAGGTATTTCTGTTACGAGTTTCTGCTTGTTAGCCACTATATTTAGAAGTTGCTGGTTTCTTAACAAGTTTAAATGATGGTGGTCACAGATTAGAGATCTTACAGTCTATATTGAAGCCCAAAAAACACTCAAGGACATGACGGATTCAGATGGCATCAAAGGGGGAACGCTCTTGCCTGTACCTTCTTCAAAGCAATCTTCTCCTGCCAACTCTAGACGACAAACAAAATCTGGTCGAAGACGGAACTAAAAGAAGGGCACTCAACATTTCGTGTATAGTAAACTCAACATTTCGTGTATATTAATAATTGTGTGTCCAGCTGATTTTGGATCATGTAGCGATTTCATTCAGTCTTAATGCTTCAGAAACTTTCCTTTGGATGTGCATCTGTGAGTGAGAAGGTTTCCAAATCATGACCATGCCAAGGATTTTCCTGAAGAAAGGGATTGAGCAAAGAGGCAATATGTATGAGAACAACAAACAGTGCAAACGAACCATTGTAAACCTATAAGATTTATAAAAAAAATTATGTAACCAAGAACAATAAGTTATAAGCAAATTGTATACGAAAGCAAACTTAATATATTTTTTTTTTCTTGCTTAGTCGAAGCAAAAAGAAAAGAAAGCCATTCTCACCTTGTGCCGTGAAGACCCAACAGTTAGATTGTGAACCCAAAATCAACTCTTCTGTGTAAAGAAAATAGATTGAGAGAAGAAAGTAATCAAATCAGTATATAACACATCCCACTTATACGATTTGCAAGAAAACACACTAGAAATAAACAATGAAGTAAAGGAAAGGCAATGCATAGAATTTAGAACCATACAACCTTTCGCCGCGTTTCGGAAATTTGGCTTTCTGCGCATATGAGAGGATTGGACTGATCTGAGAGTTTTTGTAAATCGCAGGTTACTGCTTGCTGAGTTGTTCTAAACTGCAGGTAACTGCTTGAATTTTGATCCGATCCAAATATGATGTAATTAATAGGAGATGAATTTGGTGGCTTAATCCGATAACCAGAAGATTAAAGAGAAACATACATATCAGAAGATTCTCACATACTTTATCATTGTTTAGCAAGCCTTCGAAATTGTACCACTGATAGTGACACCTGGGTTGTTAGTAAAATTAGTTAGACAGCTGGATTGGTTACACTGTTAAGCCTTACTATTAAGCAATACATAAGTCAAGATTTGCAATTTCTCTCTCTTTCTATTTCCTTCTTCCTTAGATATCTTCTTCATATACTTCTCTGAATATTTTGGTTTACAACACCTCCGCAAGAATTCCAACCTTGTTAAGCCATTGAAACTTTACACCTCCACCTCCACGTAAGCCATGAAGTTCCCTGTGGTTTTCATATACGAAGATTACAAAAACTACGAATGCTACTATATGGACTATTGCAGTGACATGCAGAGAGTGAAGGACGTCAAGTGTAAGATTGAAAAAGATTCTGGCATTGGCTTTGACCAACAGAAGTTGTTTCTGGTAGTTGGAGAAGATGACCATGTAGGTCTTGAAACTTTGGAGAAGGGAGTTTTTGTAGTTGTACCTTATCCGGAGGTAGCCACGGTGCCAGATGAACAGATTGGTTGTCATCTTGGTTCCAGGTAACTAATTCTTTATTTAATCGTCGTCTCTATGTCCTCTCTTGATTTCCGGATGACATTAACAATTTCATCTTCTTCAATAGCAAGTAATGAATCCTCGAATGTTATTCATTGTTTCCTCTTTTAATAAATATTTGTTTTCTTGATTATTCCCGATGACATTGACAATTCAATTTTCTTTAGTGGTGGTGGTGGTCTTGACAATTCAGAGGCAGCTGAAGTCACAGACGAGCAAATTGCAAATATTCTTAATTCTGGGTAATTAATTCTTGAATTTATATTCAATTGACCCTCTCTTTTAATAACTACGTGCTTTATTGATCATTGACATGAAATTGACTACTGCTCTTGATTATTACTTTCTTGATTAGGGATGGTTCTCAAACTCAAACTGTTGAAGTGAAAGTTATGGCTTGTTCGTTAATTGATCGTCAGTCTACTCATTTTACTGAAGTGGTTGGCGTTTTGGACAACGTGTTCACACTTACACAACGGTTGAGAAAAGTGTTGCAAGTACAAAATTCACACCATATAACAGTACTTTTTAACGGAAGGGAATTGGAGCAGAACTGTTGCCCATTCCTGGATTTTCGCACAAACTTGAGCGAGAATTGGGTGGATATTATTATCCAGCAAGGAACCATTGTTGGCGCAGAGGACATCAACCAAAAGGTCATGGTCGGCGAGTGCTCAGCGGCAAATCAAATGGTTCCAGCCTGGGATCCCACCTCGTTATATCTAACCCAAGAATCAAATGTTGCATCATCATCAGCAGCAGTCAATCAGATGAATGCATCAGCATTAGCAGCCAACCATACAGATGATGCATCGGAAAAAGTAGTCGGCAATGTAAGGGAAGAACATAAGATAGCGGTGAAGGTCCTAATAGGAAGGAGAAATCAATACATCATTAATGTTTATCCTAGCGACAAGGTCTCCATTTTGAGACCACGGTTGGCTCAACGATTGGCTGAATTGAACATCCCTATGACAGCAGCAACATATCACTTCGTCTTTGGCTCGATTAAAGTCCATATGAAGAGTTGTCGATCGATGACATCGGCCTAAAGAACAACATGGTAATAAAACTCACGAGCAACGACGAGTAATTTCAAAGACGACAAGAATAACGAAAAAGACCGACATATGCTATATAGTATTAGGAATTTTGTGTTTTAGTTTTTTGCTGTAGGATTATGTACCAGTTGTTTGCAACCATGTTTTGGATCATTAAACTAAGCACTTATTTTCTTTTCGTTCATTATATTGTGGATAATTTGAATTGCAAAGAGTCACTATTGGCTGTTACGTAATGGGAAATAACCCACTTTCGTTCCGAATGAAATTCTCTGAGTTGCTTGGCAAGGCACTACGTACATTAACGAACGAAAGGAGAAAGCATATACATTGATGCAAAAAGCTGATTTCTTATTAACACATGAAAATTAAAGAGTCACAATAGTTAAATTAATTTCTAAGATAAAATAAGACAATCTAGAAACGAAACCAACCAAAGCAACTAAAATCTATTGCTGAATTCCATCATTGTCTGATCTCGACCTTTTGGCTGGTGGTGCTGCTTGCGTTACCTTCGAAACTTACATTATAGTTCCATCACTTCTCCAATTATTCTAAATGAGGGGAAATTGCGTCACCTTCAAATGTCACTATAACGGGTTAATTATTCAAGTATCCTAAACCAATAAATACCTAAATCTGCAGCTTCGACCAGGAAACATGGAAGAGAAACACTCGTTGGGAGCCGTGCACATGGAATGGAATTGATCTGAACCGGCTGCTCCAGAAGTGGTGCTCGGCCCAGCACCATTCTCAATCGGAGGGGAAGTGCGCCCCATCTTCCTTCTGATTCTAATGGCTCAATCTTCGAAGCTAACATAAATTGATTTGTGATTGGACGACCACTACATGAGAAACATAGTTCCACAGATGTAAGTAGCACTAAGTCAATCCCAAACGAGAAAGTAATAAAAGCAAAAAATTAAACACACTAGAATATCACAATTGTTGAGATTAATTTTGAAAAGTTCATTCCTAGTTTGGGCCTACAAGGACTCCTTCACTCGATAACGGGCGATATTTTCTATTATTTGTTAATGATTATACTCGAATGATGTGGCTATATTTCCTTGATCACAAATCATAAGCTTTTTTTTGTTTTTTTTGTTTTCCTAAGATTCTTAGCACATGTTGAAAGAGAAAGTGGCAGGAAATTGAAGACTTTAAGAACGGATCGTGGAGTTCAATTTATTAGCAATCACTACATGAATTACTGCAGCAAAGAAGGCATAGAAGACAGCTTACGGTTAGGCATTCCCCACATCAAAAGGGAGTCGCAGAGCAGAGAAAAACCGCACAATCGCTGAAATGACACGAAGCATGATGAAAGGAATGCAACTCCCAAATCAGTTTTGGTCAGAGGCAGTCCTGAATTGGCAATGGCCGATCCAGGATCCTTAGACCATGAGGTCATTGTGTAAAAGTCTGACATAACTTTGAAAAAATTAAATGATGGAACTTTCATTACTAATTAACTAATCAAAACACAAAACCATAATCAATTAATCGAAAGGAAAGAACATAAAATATGCGCACTCAATTTGAGCTTGTTTGCACAAGCCATCGAGTAAACATAGATAAATCAAAGTGTAATTGTTGATACTAATAAAAACCCTAGATATATTATTAAGCACTTGCACTTGCGCTTAATACTAGAGGCATATATATTCTATGGTAGAAGGCATTTTTTGTTTAAGGTATTGGATAGCATGATCTCTTGCATTCTGTTCCTCATTGACTCGCAGGAAATTGAACTCGGTTCCAGAAGGTGCACACCAAAACCGGACAGGATTTATAACAATCTTCTCCAATGCAATAACATTCTTTTTCAAGTACATGACATGTTGAACACAACATTTGTGACCACGATACCCTGATATTTCTACTTCCTTGAGGTAGTAATGGGGGCATTCGGCAGCTTTCTCTATTTTTGCCATCTTCGTATTGGATATTTTCAGACCTAACTGCACCGCACCAAAGAAACAACACTTTAGTTTACTTCACAAGAACTAGAAGCGAAACCTTCCTTTCTTGTTCTCCGTTTTATATATGCTTTTCTTTCTTCAGAAATATTGGCAATTGGTAATAAAATGAAGAGAAATAATGAACGAAACCACTCTAGATATGAATGCACAATATACAATTGTCTATCAAGTTGTATTTGTAATCAGTCAATCTATCTATGAATAATTATGTATGCATACCCCCAAAACAAGTCTCTGCATGTAAGGACATGCCTTCATGAAAGAAGCTAAGCGACCAAGGGACCAATGGTAGCCTGCATCAACTAATAATTGCAAATGCCTTAGATTTGCTAGTATGGGAAGTACATGATTTTGATTGTAGACCTGAAATCCACCAAACCAAATCACAAGTAAGGAACAGAATAAATTACAAAAAGGAAGAAAAGAAAACCGACACATCAAATGTAATAATACTACATACTAACCGCTTCTCTGATATCTAGCTTCAGAATCTTTATATGAGAAAGACAAGGCGAAAGTTGGCTGAACACAATCCTTGTGAATTCAGCATAAGCGTACCACTTGTAATAGGTTACATCAACAAGCAGCGGTACATTCTTGAGATGCAAAGTTATCAATGATCCACAATAATAAATAAATGAAACAATGTTTGCGTCACAAATCTCAATGTTTTTAAGTCGTTGACAATGTTTTATCTCCAAATATTTCAATGCGATCGAGGGACCGACAACTCTTAAATTAACTAAATTTTTGGCAACATCTAGAGACAACCGCTCAAGAAGTGGACAGTTGGACAAGAATAACTCAACAACTTCCCCGGTCACACCAACATGTCGAAAATGAATAACTTTGAGGAACTTGAAACCAATATTATTGTAATATCCACCAGAACCCAGACTTGGAATGCCATTGGAAGCAAATTCTTCCTTTTCCAT